TTTTTGTTTCAACAAATTTTCAGTATTCATTAAAAAAAGACGAAGTTCAGTCATCGATGCTCACTAAACTGCATGTCACTTGGCCAGGTGCGCTAGTGAATACTGGAAGATTTGTGATATCGAACGGATTTGTTCCTGTTTCGTAAAATTTGTACCACTTTCGAAATTGAAAAAATAATCGTGAAATGCGAAATACCCGTTACTGGTTAAAACTTCGACTTCAGTACTTTTGAAAATAGAACCAAAATCAGTCAAATTAACAGTTGTTGAATTCAAACATTCATAAAAGCCAACATGAGGAGCAAATTGTAAATTTTGACCAAGTGTGTCAGCATTTAAACCAGAGACCGACGGTATGCGGTATTAGATGGCTATACCGCACTCCTGCGCCATAGTCAGAAGAAGCCTTCTAACAATGATTTTCGAGGATATGTATCATAGTTTTTTCATTCACGTTTAAATCTTGACAGAAATTCAATAAAACTAAACATTTCTCCCTCTTTTATTCTCATCTTTTATATTTCTTCTTCTGTTATCAAAAACAAATGAAAATTAATTCGATCCTAACGCATCAGATTACGATGTCAGTGAACTATCATCATTGTCGTATATTTACAACCAATTGATATCAGCAAATGCTGTAAGAGAAAGTTTATCATCACCAACCTTTTGCTTTTTCTCGTTAATGACATTGTTTACTGAAACCAAGCTAAGGTACGTCTTGACTGTCGCCAAATCCTTTGATGTGGCTTAGTTTAACTGAAAAATGAACGTCGCGTCCTATCTTTAGCTGCACAATTCAATCTACAAATACATCTGTAGCTCTTAGTTTAAAACTGTTAATTTATTTAAAACTTGAAATTAAAACGAAAATAGATAAAATATCTGAGATTATATATGTATATATATTTACATTTTTGACCGTTACTGCTCCATGCGTGATAAAAGAAATATAATCGTTTAATGATTCAACAGTTTTTTAATGCGCAATAAGATTTCATATGATATTCTCGATAATCCAAATGATCAAAATCGTGTAATTCTAACTATTGCTACCATTCATTTGCTTTTTTCCATGAAGTTCAATATTACTGACGTTTCTGAGAAGTTTTTAAATTTTGTTTCACACAAGAGTTGCTTAACAATATTCATAAGTTTCAAACAGCAACATATCTCTCAACAAAGATAACTGAATTAAGTGATAAAAAACGATCCCACCATGTCTTTATCTGAGACTTCATCACCTTCCCAAAAATTGATTTTTCTACGTAGTCACTCCAAAACTGNAATTTTGTTTCACACAAGAGTTGCTTAACAATATTCGTAAGTTTCAAACAGCAACATATCTCTCAACAAAGATAAGTGAATTAAGTGATAAAAAACGATCCCACCATGTCTTTATCTGAGACTTCATCACCTTCCCAAAAATTGATTTTTCTATGTAGTCACTCCAAAACTGTCTGATTTCTTAGTGCTCATTCTAAAGAAATAAAAACACTTAATAGTGCAACAGATATAGACAGATATAAAATCTTTTGTTATGATGATGATGGTTTTCGTAAAGCTGCGCAACACTGTGTGTCAGTGGAATCATATCATGCATTCTTGAAATACTTTTTGCGCATATGTTTATAATTATAAGTCTGTATATTAATACTTTCCTATCGATGTTCTTCGAAAAAGAAACTTATATGACATATATGAAAGGGAACAAGTTAGAATCACTCTGAAAAAAATTCGAAACTTTTTTGTCGGCGGTACGGTATTTCGCGAGACGGTATTAAAATTTTGCAATACCGTCGGTCTCTGTGACATATCATTGACTGGACGAGTAGAATTACTTTCCTGTATTTTTATGTTTTAGAAAGTCAATATTACTACTATTATGACACAATAATCGTGACGATAATAAGAAAATAAAAGCAAAAAGAATATTGATATTATACAATATAATACATTCATTGGCATAAAATCGATGTAGTTTCAGTTGCTTGAAGAAGTACTGGATAATTTAGAATTTTTTGAAAAATTACTTCTAGATGTAAGAAGATGACAAAAGTCATAAAGAAACAAATAAAAACTGACCAAACTTGACAAATTCTTCTTAAATACTGAGCAGATTTGACTCAAGTACAAAACATGGAAAGTACATAGTACAGTAATTCGTATCCAATCACTGTGACATAGGCATATTTCAAAGATATTGTCAACTAGAATAAAATTACATACATTCTACGTTTGCTTGGTCATCCTTTACCATATATCATTACCTTCTGTTCTTGTTCTCATCATCAACAGAATTAACTTATATATCTCTATCGCATTTTGTGTATTCTTCACATTCACAAGAATGAATTGCAAACTTTTTTCGTTTTTCTTATGCATTATGATCATTTCATCATTCATATTAGTTCATGGTCGTCAATTGAATATGGCTCGTGTTACCTGTCAATGTGAATGTATAAATTGGTCGGAATATAGTACACCATCAGAACCAATGGTTAGTTGCAATACCTGCAATGCAGCTACGTGACGAAAAATGGGAGGTAGCTGTCAAAGTGGTACAGTAATTAAAGTAATCTGTACTTAAATTTCGAAATTTATATCAAGACAAAACAAAAAATATTACATAGAAATTGATTTTAAATTTCTAAAATCTAACTGTAATCGTTTTGCTTCGGTAATAAAATATTGAATTAATTTCTGACGAAGATCTAAGCTTTCGATAATTATTTCATGCGGTTCTTTTGTATCATAAATCAATAATTTATTTTCATTAACTGTAATAGCGATGCCTTGAAGAAGAGCTAAGCGAGATATAACATATAGATATTTTGACTTCTTAGTAGTCAAATATATATGAATAATTTCATCTACTGAAAGATTTCTTGAACAAATCGATGCATATTTAGATGAAAAAACCTTTTTGATTAATCGAAAATCTAATTTGTTCGATATAAAAGATGGAATGACTATATGACTTAATGATTCTGCTGCTCTATTCGAAACAACAAAATGATCGTTATTACTCAAAAAAATAAGCTTTTTAATTATTTCGCTAGTCGCTCGTATTCTACCTAGAATTCCTAAAGTTTCACATGCATTGTTTCGAACATATCCACTTTTATCTTCTAATGCTTTGAGTAACAGACTCATAACTTCATCGTTTACTTGAGATTCATTTAATTTTCTAAGAGCTTTACAAGCACTCGCTCTGATATCTTCGTTTTTATCCTTTAATGCACTTCGAAGTTTATTAATAAATTCATTATTTATCACAATGTTATTTAAATCTGCAAGTGAATAATAAGCACTATTTCTAACACAAATACTTTCATCTTCTAATGCATTTATTACTTTGCTAATCACTTTCTCTGTCGCTACTTTTTCGCCCATTTGTCCCAGAACATATAAAGCACATGCTCTAACATTCTCGTTAGTATTTGTTAACGTAGAGATTACTAAATTGATAATTTCGTTTGTTGGCTTTTGTTTACCTAAGATTTCCAGAGATTCACATGCAAACATTCTGACTATTTTATTTTCATCTTTTAATGCAATTTTCACTCCTCTAATTAGGTTTCTCGCCCAAATTCTTTTTTCAGCAATTGTTTCGAGAGTTTGACATGCAGCAATTCTAACATTTTCATTCCTATCCTTTAGTCTTTGTATAAGTTTTTCCATTAATTCATTCGTAATTTCCGTTTCATTTAACATTCTCATAGCTTCACATGCATTTCTTCTTTCTTTTTCACCATCATTCTCCAAACCTTTGATTAGTTTTCTAATTGCATTCTTCACTATTCTCTTTTCTCTTGAATTCTCTAAAATATCATATGCATTTCTCCTAACTAAATCACAATCATCTTTCAATGCATTGAGTAATATTCTAATTATTCCACCTTTAATCATCTTTTTGTTGACATTTTCAAGAGCTTCACAGGCATAACTTCTCATATATTTATTCTTACTGTTCAGAACATCTACTATCCTATTAGGTATTTCTTTTGTCATTGTCTTTCTCCCTATCTTTCCTAGAACATGCAAAACACCCACTCGAATATTCTTATTCTTCTCATCTAATGCTTTGATTAATTTCTCTTTCGGTACGTGTTCAGCAAGATTACCAAAAAAATATCTTACACGAGTTCGAACATATTTATCTTTATGTCCCAATAACTTCACCAATTTATCAGTCATTTTATTCGTGATCACTTTCAATTTCCATCTTTCTAAGACATAGGATGCACTCGCTCTTACATTCTCATAATCATCCGCTAGTAGATCTATAAACTTAAGAATAATTTTCTTTGTCAAATTTTTCTTACTGACCATTCCCAGAGCGTACGACGCATTTGCTCGAACATAATTATTCTCATCTCTTAAAGCTTTTACTAATAAATTAATCACTGATTTTCTTGCTATATGTTCACTAATACTTCCGAGTGCAAGACATTTTTTGATCTTTATCTCTTTCATTTCATTATCTACTGTTGTCTTACGAATCGATTGAATCAGTTCCTTAGATGGATTCGGTATTTTCAATTCCGAAATAAATGTAAGAACATCAGATTTAGTTTGTATATCACCACGATCAAGTAAATCGATCAACACGTTAAGAATATTGGGATCACATACCAACAATGGTGTTTTTTGCAATGAATACGATAAATGATTGCGAAAAATTTTATCATTAATCGTAAAACTAAATCGAATGCATTTTGCGACAATTTGTAATAATTGATTTGATTTGATTGATGTTGCTTCAAGACATAAGATAATAAGTTGTATATGTCTTATACCAATAAAATCAAATGGTTTTTCTAAGATTACATTCCAATAGAATTCGAGATCATTTTCAGAAAGAAGACCAAAGAAAAAGGAAAATATTAATGTATAANGAAAAATTTGATCATTAATCTTAAAACTAAATCGAATGCATTGTGCAACAATTTGTAATAATTGATTTGATTTAATTGATGTTGCTTCAAGACATAAGATAATAAGTTGTATATGTCTTATACCAATAAAATCAAATGGTTTTTCTAAGATTACATTCCAATAGAATTCGAGATCATTTTCAGAAAGAAGACCAAATAAAAAGGAAAATGTTAATGTATAATGTTGATTGTATTTTTCATATTTAAGAAATTCAATTGCTTCTTCTTTTGCTTTAATTAAATAACGAGCAGCGAAATATTCTTGAAAACTTAAATGAACAAAATAATGATCTTTGTCTGTTTCAATTCGTGTACCAATACTATTTGGTTTATGAAAACTTTTCAAGATACCTAAATTGAGAATATCGGGATTTTGTTCAAATGAAATGTTTGCATCTTTTGCTGCTTTTTTAAGTAAAGATGGTCGAATAACAATTGTATTACTTTTCATTGTATAAAAAGCAAGATATTCCAAAAATGTTAATTCAATTTCATTTGTATGTTCTTTTTTATCTTTCGATGTTAAATATCTTCGATATAACCATTCTATCATTGTGTTGTATAATGATGTAATTGTTAAATCTTTTGTTTTCAATGTATCTTCATTACTCCAAACACTACAGATCAATTCGAGATTAACGGGAATATGAGCAACACCCCAAATACGTTGATTTGATCGTAAATATTTGATTAATGATTGACTTTTGTTAATTGAATTAGTTTCTAATTGACAGAAAAATTGTTCGATATATTGTTCGATATTTTCATCGGTAAAACCGTTTATTTCTAATTGAATATCGTAGGATAATGTATTTAAATATGGACGAGATGTTAAAATATGATGCGGAGTTTTTAATAATTGTTCAAATAAATCTTGAAGATGTTTGGGAATATTTTGTACAATTTCATCATATCCATCAAGAATCCAAAGAGTTTTTTCGATATTAAATTGTGTTTTCAAAAGCTTAGTCTTTTCTTCAGATAAATTAAATCGAATAATTTCTTTTTTTATAAGATCAATAAGAGAATAGGTTTGTCCATTTGGTAATTTTGGATATCGATTAGTTGTTAAACGACGTAATGGAATAAGAACAAGTAATTCATATTCTGACCAAGATGTATCTGTTGCCCATTGATAAGCGATATATCGACAGAATGTTGATTTACCAATTCCTGCACGACCAAAGACAAGTACTTGTTGTTTTTGACGATGACATGTTTTGAAAATATCATTAATATTGATTGTAGTTTTGGTTCCATAGATCTCTTCGAATGTATTGTAAATAGTTTCAGAATTCTGTTCCGTATGAAGTTGGATTTCTTTCTCCCATTGTTCTCTAGATGTTACAATGGATAAATTTATATAACTTTCGGTGATTGGAAATGATTTCGCGGGATTCATCAAACTTTCGATCCGACTATTTTCTCGATATTCGTCTTTAACTTGTTCATACAATTCACTGAAAATATCAATTTGTATTATTTGTTTAAGAATTTCATTATAGACTTACTTTTGTCGAAGAATTTCTATCAAATGAAGAATAAAAAG